ATATATATATCAAACATATTATTAATAAATATAAAAACTATGCAATTTAAATTTATCACTTTTCTTGTTTTTCTCTTTTTAATTAAAAACATTTTAGCTGCTTGTGGTTGTTGTGGTTTAATCGGGCATAATAAAAACACCTGTAATAGAAATCCCTGTCCTAGATTACAACAACACCAAAAATTAAGACATTGCGGTAACTGTGGCAGCACGTTATATATCGCATCTAATAAAGAATGTCGTGCAAAAAAACAATTTTTTAATCATGTTTCTAATAATACTATTAATAACGACTCTGGTTGATAGTTTATGTGGAATCTGTCGAAAAGAAGGACATAACAGAAAAACATGCCTGTACAATAATAGTGATATGGTATTAAACAAAATGGGAAAAACTTTAGTACCCTGGCAATTACATAAAATCGTTAGAAACAGACCCCCCAAAGGAAGAATATGTTCATGGTGTGGTGCGTTAGATCATAATAGAAGAAAATGTCCTTTTCCTTGGAGAGATGATCAAGGTAGAAACAACTTATGAAATGTAGCTGAAATCAGAACTACAGCAAAAAAATATTTTGAAGCACCGTATTATCCCATACGAATGTGTGGTTGGTGTGGTGCCATCAGTCATAACAGAAAAAATTGTCCTATTCATAAAGCTAGAGGAGATGAAATAGATAACGATCATAAAAGAGTATTAATAGAGGGTCTTAATAAATTTAAAAATAGTCCCAAATATAAATTAAAACATAAAATAATACCAGAATTTATGATTAGAAATGTATAAATTTTTATTGTTATTTTTTATTATAATAAAAACTGTTTCATGTGTTTATCCAGTAATTGTATTACCAAATGTTTGGTTTGATATCGAATACAGACCTTACTACAGACCATATCATAGACCTAGACTTCCATATAGGCCATACAGGCCAAGAAGACAACGTATACCAAACTACATAGCCGCTTGCAGATGTTGTGGTGGTGAAAATCATACTAGAAATGATCCGAACGCCCCTGTCGAAATCAAAACTGTATCAATCCTAGATTGGTAAGATCACTCAGAGAACAAAGATTATATTATCTTGAAAATGGAATTCAAATACCAAATAACATAGGTCAAGGACCTCCAAATAACAATCAAAGACCAAACAGACAAATTCTACCAAGAAATAATGGTGATGGTGGTGATGATAGTGATGATGATAACAATGACGATAACCCTCCTCAAAATAATATACCACAAGCACAACAACCGAATCAACAAAATTTAAACAATAATATCGATAGATTAAGAGAAGATATCAGAGCTGGAAGACAACAGTT